AACCCGGTAGATCTATCCATCTGGGTCAGAAATTTTTAACATTTAACAAGTAAGATTAATAAATAACAAACATATCTAGGGTTTCATATTAAAATATGAAAAAAGGTAGATTTTTCAAAGCCGAAGCTACAAGGAGATAATTTTCACACTGAATTGAATACAATTACCCGAAAAAGGAAGGTTTTTGCCGGAGATAGAATACACAAAATCACATCGCCGCTAGTGATTTTACAATCAAACAATTGAGATACATCACACGACTGAAGTCGTGGAATTAGAGTAGTAATCGCCGGAATATTTGGAGGCATCCCCATCGAAACATCTAGAGAGATGGAGAAGGAGGCGAGCGGCGATAGTGGAAAATGTAGATCCACGATATAGGCTAGGTTAGGGTGGGAGTTTATATATTTTAGGTATGGGTGGGGTTTGGGTGGGTTGGGCCGAATATAACGGCCTAATTTTTTTTGGGTTTTCAATTACAATTTATATTAAAAATAAATTACTTTTAAATATAAAAAGTAGTGTATGAATTATACTTTTAAATGCTACATTTTAAAAACATAAATTTTTGAGAAATCGAGAAAAAAATGTGTGGCTCAAGGTAATCTTTATGTCTAATCAAATACTCCGTAAAAGAATAGATTTAACAAATGCATGCATCTAATGTGAAGAATTGAATGTATAGCTATAAAGTTGCGTACTTCATCATTTCTCTTTAAGAAAAAACGAAAAAGTAAAAGCTTGAAACATTGATGCTTTATGTTTTTGAGAATCGAGAAAAAGAAATATGTGGCTTAAGACAATATCAATGTCTAATCGAATAAAAGAAAAGGTTTAACGAATATAAGCATTTAATGTGGAAAGTTGAATGTGCAATCATAAAACTGCGTGCTTCATCGTTACTCTTTATGGAAAAACGAAAAAGCAAAAGTTTGAAAAAAACATGCTTTATGTTTTCGAGAATCGAGAAAGAGGATTGTGTGGCTCAATGCAATCTTTATGTCTAATCGAAAAAAGAAAATATTTAACAAATATATGCATTTAATATGGAGAGTTGAATGTGTAGCTATAAAACCGTGTGCTTCATCATTAATCTTTATGAAAAACTGAAAAAATAAAAGCTTAAAAAATGCATGTTTCATCATTACTCTTTATGAAAAACTAAAAAAATAAAAGCTTAAAAAATGCATGGTTTATATTTTCGAGAATTGAGAAAAAAATGTGTGGCTCAAGACAAATTTTATGTCTAATTAAATAAAAGAAAAAATTTAACAAATATATGCATTTATTGTTGAGAGTTGGACATGTGGCCATAAAATCGTGTGCTTTATCATTACTCTTTATTAAAAACGAAAAAGCAAAAGTTTGAAAAATGCATGCTTTATCTCTTCGAGAAAAAGAAATGTGTGGCTCAAGACAATTTTTATGTCTAATCGAATAAGAGAAAAAATTTAATAAATATATGTATTTAATGTTGAGAGCTGGATGTGTAGACATAAAACGACGTGTTTCATCATTACTTTTTATGGAAAAATGAAAAAAACAAAAGCTAAAAAAATGCATGTTTTATGTTTTCGAGAAAAAGAAATGTGTAGCTCAAGGTAATCTTTATGTCTAATCAAATAAAAGAAGAGATTTTAACAAATATATGCATTTAATGTGGAGAGTTGGATGTTTATCCATAAAACCGGGTGCTTCATCGTTATTCTTTATGGAAAAACGAAAAAAGCAAAAACTTAAAAAATGCATGCTTTATATTTTTGAGAGTCGAGAAAAAGAAATGTGTGGATTAAGATTTAACAAATACATGCATTTAATGTGGAGAGTTCGTTACCCCTTACTATATGCTATTTATACCCATGAAAATTTAGTTCTCAGTCATAGTTAGCTATATCTAAGTCACTTTTGGTGTTACCAAACATAGATTTTGGTTTCTATGTTCAACTTCGGACAAAATTTTTATATCAAGACAATAGCTTGAAGACAAATTAAAATCATTGTTTCAAACCTTTTTTTAGTGTTAGGAATTACTATTGGTTAACTTATGAGTATTAAATACGCAAGAATTTCTAGAAATGATTTGTTTCCAGGAAAATGTGTATATTCACATAAAATTTATGTCCAGTCCGTGCAACGCACGGGTTCGAATACTAGTTTAGTAAACAAATTATGAAGTTTGTCTAAAATGTTTTCTAGTTAACATACTCCCTATTAGAATTGTTGATGTTGAGTGAATGAAAATTTACTTTAGAGGACGTACCTGATTTTTACACTTGATTTTTACGCTCCTTAAATGCCATGACATATTTTAGAAATTTGATAATTGAATTTGGATGGATGGTACTCGTAATTCTTTTGTCCAAAATTAAAATTCCTTTTGAACGTTCCAAAAAAATTACTCCCTCCGTCATGTTTTAAATTGACTGTTTTGATTTTTGGACATATTTAAGAAAAAGAAAAAATAAAATTGATTTTTCGAAATTGTCATTACTTTTCAGAAGGGGTGACTATGAATTAGAAGATAAAGTAAAGAAGGGTGACTTATTTTAGGGGTAGTTTAGGTATTTTATTTTTAAAAGTTTACGATAACAACTAACAGATAACTTATTTTGGGACGGAGAAAAAAGGCAAACAGACAATTTAAATATGGACAAAGGGAGTATTTTGATTTTCACTTTTGGAAAAGTTTTTGAAAGCTCGTACACTTTTCTCTTATGCATTATTTTTAACTATACAATTTCTTTTTTTATTTTCGTCTTGGCCGAATCAAATATGGATTATTAAATAGTGAATGGAAGGAATGTTTTGAACGCCTATAGACGTATGCTACATGCCCAACATCCGGGGTATGAGAAGATGGGCCAAATAGCTCCGGTATCCCCTTGTGATTTGGAAAAATGGCACCAATATCCCCTCTGTTTTTAAAACTTATTTCTAAAGTCCTCGTGGTTTCAAAACGTTGCACTCACACCCCCTCTGATCATTTTTCGGCCATTTTCCGGCGAAAAGAGGGCATTGGTGCATAATTTTTAAACCATAGGGGGCATTCATGCTCATTTCTTATTTTCGTTTGTTATTCTTCCCTTTTTTTAAGAAATATTTTCTATCTCTTTTTCCTTTTCCTAGATTTTTTAAAGTATATTTTCAATTTTTTATAATGTTTCAAAAATTTTCAAATTCTTTGTATTTGAAATGAAAATAAAAATAAAAAAATTAACATATATTACATATATCTCAAATTAAACATTTTCACTCATTTTTATTTTTGTATTAATTTGTTTTTATTTTATTCATCATTTTTTTTGAAGTTCTTAAAAAAAATTACGGAGTATTTTTTTCATAAAAAACAAAAATTGTTAATTTGAGAAGTACATATGCATTATATGTTATTTTTTCAAACAAAAATAACTTTAAATTTTAAGAACATTATAAAAATATTTTTTTTTAAAAAAAACCTTTATTAATAAATGAAACAAAAAAAGGAAAAAAAGGAAAAAAACAAAAAATATGCGAGAAATAAAAATCAGCACTGATACCCCCTATGGTTTAAAAAATACTCCCTCTGTCCACCATAGATCTTCCCAGATACTATTCACAGGGTCAAACTTTACTCACTTTGTTTGCTCAATTTTACTAGTCATTTCATAAAATAATATAGTCTTGTCACCTCTAGTTTTGTAGAAATTTTCATGTAGTTTATTACTATATAAATTTTATTTTAAAATTTTACTCCTAGAATCAATTAAATTGAATTAAAAATAAAGTCGGTCAAGCCTCGTAACGCGTAATGAGAAGATCATACATGGACGGAGGGAGTATGCAACAATGCCCCCCCTTCTTCGCCGGAAAAATGGCCGGAAAATGATCATAAGGGGCACGAGTGCAACATTTTGAAACCACGGGGGTTTTAGAAATGAGTTTTGAAAACAGAGGGGGTATTGGTGCTTATTTTGCAAACCACGAGGGGTATCAACGCAATTTGGTCTGAGAAAACAGAGTTTTTTTCTCTCTTCTCGATAACTTTTGTTTGTTTATGTAAAATATTTTGTAGAACTTTTGAAGTAGTTTTTTAATATGTAATTTTTATATCTTATTAATATATCAATTTGTAAATAAAATGATTTCAAAAAGTATAAAATTTTTACTCCGTAACCCGCAATTTGTAATCAAATTGGGGACGGAGGGAGTATCATGTGTTACGCCATAGATAGCCTCCTATCAAGGCTATGCTTACTCTACATTTAGATGGAGAGAATTTGGAGAGAAAATAAGAGTCAACGACCGACCTCACAAATTGACATGGGGCCTGTTTGGGAATAGCGTTAGAGATTAGTGTTAGCGTTTTCAAAAGGCTATCTACGGGCAGCGTTTAGCGTTAGCGATTTCAAATTAATCTGCACCGTTAAAATTTTATCCAAAACGCTAACGCTAATCTCTAACGCTATTCCCAAACAGGCCCATGATATACATATAGCGGGTTGCGATTGAACATATCAAATAACTCAAACAACTAAATACTATGTCATCAAAATGTCGATCAAAATTGAATGACACAAGCTTGAACATCAAAAGGATTTTCGAAGTTTATTTTAGATAACATGAGATATACCGAAGTATAAATTTTTTACCTGAAAATCAAGGATACCCTAAAATATATTTCAAATAATGAGATAATATATTTGAGAACATGGATTTGGATTTCAAATATAGATTTGATTGAAATTCCATGTTTCGAAAACTCAAAAATTTTGAATTTTGATTTGGTTCAAATTCCTCTTATTCATAACAAAACTCAATTTGAAATTCATGCACCTCTCATCTGGTCCTTTGATATTCAACATTTCAAATTTTGAAACTATGAAATGCTCGAAATAATTTTTTCAAAAGATTTATCAAAGAAGCTTCTAAAAAGCATTGATGGAAACACAAGCAAATTTGAATTCGAGTGAGTGAGTATTCGCAGTTGAAAATGGAGTATTGTTGCCTGCCTTCATTGATGCCACAAGGAGTCCGGACGGAAAACTGGGAGTGGGAGGAAGAATGGCCCTCGAAAATGGCATCCAAAGATGGGCAGTCAACATCTCGGAGTGGGACCCATCTCCCCTTGCCTTCTCTTCCGCCATGTCTTTTCTTCCCCGCCACGAACATCCTTCCATCACCAGGTAACCCGCCACTCTCTCTGTCCCCATTTCTTCTGTGATTTTCTTGATTAGTTTTTTCTGTTATCATGTTGTCTTTTTTTTTGTGACCAATTGGAAATTTGGTTCCGGGTTGACCTAATTATCGGCTCCGGATTTCAATTTATTTGTCTGCTTCGGCAAATTCTAGAAAATTCTGGAGGAATCCTTCTTACCAAGCACTTCTTAAGATATACATGTGATTGATCTTATGGGATGGAAGTGCAATTGGCAGCTAAATTTTGATCTTGATGTTACTTGATTTTGGATGCAAAGAAATCTTTAACAACAACAATCAGAGGGTGTTTGGCACTGTGTTAGAGAGCAACTTTTGAGCTTCTACTTCGCCCAAAAGTAATTTTGTGTGTTTGGCAAATCTATTTTCTGCTTATGGTGTATGGCTTCAGACAGCAGAATGGGTTCCAAAAGTGTTTTTTGACGAAGTTGGGATTAAATGCTTTTAGCTTTTGCGTTATGAGTTATGAATTATGACTTTTGCTTTTCCAGGAATCTGAATCCCTCGCAGTGCCAAACACCCTCTAATCCCAACTCCAACTGGGGGTCTTGGGCGTAGCCTTTTACCCCTGTAGAAACAGATGGCCGACTTTCCGTTAGACCCTTGATGTATTTACTGCCCAAAGCTTCATGGAAAGTAAGAAAAAAAGGCAGATTAGTGTGTCATTTTGATTTAAGTATGTATTTAACTAATGTTATACATTTTCAATTAGATTTGTCAAAATGGGAGACCGCAAACGAGCTCTAGTGAGCAGATTGATGCAGTATGCTTTGGTACATCAAGTCTTGGGAATCACATACAATGAGATATGCATTAAGCGCACCGTTGAGGGAAAACCATATCTGGTATGACACTCATGGTGCTTGGTTGTATTGAGGTCAAGATCTTGGACCCATATTGCATGAGTCGTCATTTTTGACATGCTTATTAAGAAAATAAAAATGCGTGGTTGAAGTTAACTTTAGAAAGAGAAGAAACAACATCAAAAATGTGAAGGGTTCATTCGGAACCCAAAAAAGGCTTGGGAAAGAAAGATTAGAGGAATATACATGGGAAGTTTTGAAGGCAAATTTGTTGGGTAAAAATTTGGTTCGAACTCAACACAGCCTTTGTGTCATATCATGACACCAAGGCTATTGGCAATATTGAGGGCTCTATGGTGCTCCTTTGGGCATCATTCCCCCACTTTGACGCCCTCACACAACCTCACTTTAGCCCACACCCCCAATTTGACGTCGTCAGTCCCCACCCCACTCCACCCCCAGGCAATCAACACTCAGCAGTCAGCACCCCCTCCCTATCATGCACCCTGACCCATCCTCCGGGCCCAAGCTCAATACGACATATAAAAATATACAAAAAAAGTTTTTAATTTTCTTACTATGAAATTTGATTTTTCAGTGTATCATCCTAGGATTCCAAGGTAAACCAAGCAAAAAAAAACTAATTTCCTTGCAATGTAGGGCTATCTTGACATATCTGATGATATTGTTCATGCATCTGACTTTTTTTTGTCAGGAATACGGAAGTGCAGTCTTAGACTTTCCAAACTTTAACTTCAATGTATCTCATCAAGGTGATTATGTGGCAATAGCTTCTGAACCAATATGCATTGTTGGCCTGGATATCGTTGACTATTTCTCCCTGGAGAAAGATTCTGCTCGAGAATTTATTCAAAGCTTCTCACCCTACTTCTCAGGATTAGAATGGAATGGAATTTTAAATGCTGGCTCTGACAATCAAATGTTACTAGAGCTTTACAGGTATGATGCTCTTAACATTATTACTTGGGAAGCTAATCTTATATAGCATTTGGGTCTCTACCGAATTTATTCCTCTTTGGCCCCAAACCATCACGCGTTGCTGGTTTAAAAACTTAGTTGTCAATCTTGTCATGTATGATGTATGATCACTAATAAATGTAGTTTGGTTTTTAGTTATTTTAGAATTATAATATTACGGAGTAATAGACTACTTTTAAAGTATCCCACATCGAGAATTTATCCACGTATCACCCACCTTATAAGAAATACCTACTATATTTTATAACCTTATACTCTCTCCATCCCTATTTAATGTTCTTGTTTGCTTTTTGCACGGAGTTTACGATCTTTTTTATGGCCTATGCTGTGCAGATACTGGAGTTTGAAGGAAGCATTCATCAAAGCCACAGGGGAAGGCGTTGGGTGCAGATTGGACAACATTGAATTTCAGCACATTTATTGGGAAAACATACTTGTTAGAGTCAATGGCAAAATATTGAAAGATTGGAGATTTTGTCTATTTGAATTGGGAAAAAGTCACTTGGTTAGTTCAATATGTATTTCCTACTCTCTCAATACTCTCATTTTCTCTCTTAACATTTGAACAAGGAAACACAGGTTACGTGTATGGTAGAGCTTTGAAAATCTCAAACCACGTCTCACCAATTTTTTTGCGGGTGTGCAATGAGCTATTTGGAGAGCTTTTTGTGGAAAATGAACTTTTTTTGGTCTAAATGACAGCTATTAGAAATGCTTGGTAAAGAGTTTTTTGGTCCCCATTCCCCAAAGGTTGCTTTACGATAAGCCTGTTTTTAAGTTTTTTGGAGCAAAAGGTTGTTTTTATGTTTTTTTTAAAGTAGATACAAGCAGTTAGCACAAACAACCAACAAACAACTGATTGCCAAATTGAGCTTTTGGCATGTTTGGGGTAGTTTGTGGTTTTTGAGTTTTAATAAACAGCTAGGAAGAAACTTCCTTTTTTTATTTTTCTTTCCTTTTATTTCTAAATAATAGGTACTGAATTTGAAAAATTACATAGATATGAATTCACAACTATAAATAATACTGAATAATAATTTAACACAAAAAGATGTTCGATGAGAAGGAATAAAAGAAAACATTTGAATGGCTTCTGGTGCAGGCAGCGATTGCTAGGGGTCATCCAATGGCTGCTACCATAAATTACAAGAAAACATTGAAGCGGACGATGTTTGATGACAACGAATACAGGCAGGGTCTTCATCTCCCGAATGCTGGATTTGTGTTACGCGAGGTAGACGAGCTTTTCCCCAGCCGTTGTGGATTAGGTAGAACGCATATTGGATTGTTGCAGACACGTGATGATGCTTCGGAGGATGAAGGAGAGTAGCCAGGCAGCCATTGCTGATGCTGTTCGGATATACGAAGATTCCACCTCAAGGTTCACATGGCTTATTATCAATTGGTTTATATATTATTAGGGGCGGTTCCGTTAATACTGGCTTTGGTTGACACTACGGTGCCACTCTCTCTTGGGGCACTTACGGTACTCCGTTCCCAAAATTGATGGTTCTTATCCCCCTAACCTCCCTTAAATCCCCTTTCTCCCACCCCAGCCGCCCCTTCCTTGAGTTCCTTCCACGTTGATGGGCAAGACAACAGTTTTTACTGTTGCCAATCGGTGTGAAAGGGTGTGGGGGGCAGTGGGTTAGGGGGTGGGAACCATTAATTTTACGAACGGAGCATCATATCGTAGGCGCCCTAAATTGAGCCAGTGTCATGGGAAGATACTATGATCTTATGTCACTAGATTCTTACCAATATGATTAAGACACGATAGAAAATACCTATTTTGGTTTTATTAAATTTTAGTATGTATTGTATGTTGTTGCAGAGACTCTAAGCCTCTATTCATAGTAAAGAGAGTTAGAATTAACATTCATACAAATGGAGGAACTATACACATTGAAGTTATACCCTAATTATATTAACAAGACCTAGAAAAGTGGTGGTAATTAGTTGAGAAGATTAATTATTCACCTTCTCTGTAACCGCTTTTATTGTTCATTTTTCTATTAATGATGGGTAATTTTTTTTTCTCGTAGTTAGAGAAAACTGTGTAACTTTGAGTCCATCTTATTTTGAGTACCAATGGGTAGACCTAAGTTCGATTTCTGTCAACTGTGCTGGGAGACAACTACGATAAACATATGACCTCTTCAGATACAGACTTCATTCTTTGCCATTACTTCTTCTCAGTGACCGTTTAATCGGTCTGGGAGAGCCTTTGATTATAAAAAAATGTCCCACAAATTTTATATGGAGTATATTTTTAGTGTAATTTTTTTAAATGAAAATCATATTTTTGCTGTAACCTGAAATTGGTAATATACTCCAGGTATTAACTAGAGTCAAAAATGTAATAAGTATTTTGATTAAAATTGTAAATTCTGGTGCAGACTCAAAGTGGAATTTGTTGTTGTGAGGGAGAGTACTCAGTATTTTTTTAGATTTTATGAAGATTGGTCACCAATAAAAATTGAGGAGACCCCAAGTCCTAAACTAAAGAATGTTTAATTTCATATAATAAATTATTTAAAAAATAATTTTCATATTGCCTATTAAAAAAATAGATTTAATGAATATCTGAAATAAATTCATTACTCTCAACTTTTTTCATTATATATTGCCTAGTGTTGGACTCGAGAGTCCCGACTAGTAATGATTGTAGCTATTCTAATTCTTAAATTTGCCACTGCTTTGAATAATATTTTTTTTCGTTAAAAATTACTCTGTACTTATTAAAAGATTACGTTAAAAAATATATAAAATAATATGGTAAAAATATTTTATTTTATCAAATAATTAATAAAATTAAAAAAATAAATTAAAGTTATCAAAAGGAGAGAGAAAAAAAATTATAATCAAAATTAGGAGGGATGGAGTATGTAAAATTCATCTCTTTTAAAAATGTTTTATTTATAAATTGATATAGAAATAAAAATACTCTCTCCATCCTAAAATTAATTTCTCAATTTGACTTTTTTGGTCAAATTTTTTAAACTTTGACTGCATACTACGCAAAAAAATATATTGAATTTTCATATAAATTTAATATCAATAGATTCATTTTAAAATATATTTTTCAAATATTCTATTTTAAAATATATAATTATATATGAATAGAGATATTAATGATTAATTTGTTGCATTGGAGATCGTAAAAAGTTAAATAGAAAATTAATTTTAGCAATGGCATACCTAGAGTTTTGTGGTAGTGGGTTCATTTTTTTATATGTTGGACACATAATATCTATTCTTTTCGTTCCAAAATATTTTACATTTTATGTAAAATGAAACAAAATTTCTTTTTTTTTTAAAATTCATTTTTAGAAGATTTTTATGCAAATTTTAAAAAAACTTACTTATTTTAAAATTACCTCAAAAGTTCTAAAACACAAGAAGTAATGAGAATATTTTATTTTATCAAATAATCAATCAAAACACCTAAATAAACAAAAGCTATGTATATGTGGCTAACAATGTGAACCCGTCCTAATATACTTTTACTTTTTAATTCGTACTAAGAGCTATATGAGTGTAAAAAAGTGGTACTATTAGAAAAAAAATTAGTGAGTGCACTTGACCCCACTTGGACTATTGTAGGTCCGCCACTGAATAAATTATACTCGAGATATATTTTAAAATCATATCAAATGTTTTATTTAAGATATAATAAGACTATTTTATTAAATAAATAATTAATAAATGTAAATAATTCGTAGGAGGACCGAGGACTTATATTGAAAAAAAGAGCGACTGTAAAATTCCTTAGTCAAGATCATCATCCTACAGAACGAACAGATAACGCCATGGAAATCCGGGCTAGCTTTCTCTTCACAGCGCTGCTCTTTGCCGGAACCGCTTTGGCTTCCGCCGATTCAGCGTCGGAGCCCACCGTCTACGATATGCTGACCAAGTACGGCCTGCCGGCCGGCCTGTTGCCGGACTCGGTGACCTCCTACACGCTTTCCGACGACGGCGCCTTCGAGGTCTACCTCGAGAAGCCTTGCTACGTGCAATTCGATTACTTGGTGTACTACGACAAGAAGATCTCCGGGAAATTGGGCGTCGGATCGATCACCGGATTGAAGGGGATTCAAGTCAAGAGATTACTGTTCTGGTTCGACGTGGACGAGATCAGGGTCGACTTGCCGCCGTCCGGGAGTATCTATTTTCAGGTCGGGATTATTAACAAGGAACTGGATGCCGCTCAGTTCGAGACTGTTCCCACTTGCCGGGACAAAGCATTGGCCCTGTGTGGAGGATCTGCCAGGAAAATTGCTCAGGTAACTGTGTTCTCTCCTTCTTCTGGACTCCCAAACTTTATTGCACAATGCCTCTTAAACTTTTAAAAATGTAGCACCAATGGTTTCTCCATACTGGGGAGTACGTTAATGACACGCTCATCTATGTACCTGTTGGATATTAATGAAGAGGTTGATTGATTGATGACTAGCTTTATCGACTAATGTCCGACCTTCGAATTCAGTTACCGATGACTAAATCGAGAATAATCATCCAGGGTTTAAAGAGGCTAAGAATACAGAAAATAATATTTGGGAATGACATATTGCAGAACTCTCACATGTGATATATGACTTTAAATGAACCCATACTTGCATTAGATGGGCGTATGGTTAACACATTCCCAAATCTACCCTACCATTGGTGCAACATTTTTAAAAGTTCAGGGGTATTGGTGTAATTTTTAAAGCTTAGGAGGGATCTGCGCAAATTTTGCAAAGTTCAGGGGTAAATGACGTAAAAAAACTCGTTTACCAAATGGCTATTAGATCAATGTGTCTTGCAGAGATGGAGCATGTATGATGGGAAAATTTAACTTGTTTAATTTCACACCAAGTTACCAGTGTTTGAATGATCGCAGCCCTAAAGTTGCTAGCTTTAATGATCCCTTTTGGTATAGTGGTATTAGATCCACATTTTTTAGTAAATAGATACTTGTTGGGAAGATTTCCCTTTCAATGAATTGTTGTAAAAATGCTCTCCTGCCTCGATTAGTCACGCTTAGGCGGCTGGCTTCCTCGAGTGCATATGTACCACCACTTAGGCTCCATTAACCCCGATTAAGCGAGGCGCGTAGGTCACGTAGTGAGTCCCAATCACTTACCCTATAATATGAAGGGGTGAAATATGCATTCTTTATATATTTTTTTAACAAATACATTTATTATGTGGCCTTGTGGGTGTCTCCACGGCTCCACAGTAATTCTTTGATGCCACATGGGGCAGGTAGGGCACCTTGGGTATGGTGTTTGCCCATCTGAGTGAGTGCCTATATATATGAGCAAATCTTGACATGGGCTGGTAGTCTAATGTAGTTCATAACGCTCGTGCAGTGTCCCAAGGTCTCTTGATCACCATGAGGCCAGCCTTTCCCTACAAATGTGCCACCTGGTTTCGCGGTTTTGCAAGCCAAGGTTCATCAAGGAAGCAACAATAACTCCTGACCATTTGTGCCATGTAACTTGCATAGTCTCTTTCATAGTTAAATCCTAGATTAGCGAGAAGCTCTCCAGACATAACTGGGTCAGCATGCCTAACTCAGTTACACTCATGCATACAAGGCATTACAACACTTTAATATTATTGCTGCCAACATTCTAACCAATGGAATGACTCATTGTTGGCATGCCTTCATCTTCACGGTCAGCAAGACTTGGTGCATGATAGAGTGCACACGCGTGTTGAATCTGGGGCGATTCATTTTGAGAGACAATCTGACAAAACGTAAATATCGAAAAGTTGACTCGTACAATTTTACACCACAAAGTGACAATAAGCGGGGACATCATTATCGATGGACTTGTAGAAGAGATTACAAAATTAATTGTGTTGCTTGGTACATGTAGGCAATCTCACAAGTGGGGAAAGGCCTAGTTTTGGTCAAGAAAGAAACGTTCTAAGGAAAAAAACAATAATCTGCTCTTTCTTTTTCGTTGGTGTTTTCTGTGTGATGCTTGATAGCACTATTCTTTGAAACCATTTTTATGTAAGAATAAGGTCTGCGTGCACATACCCTTAGATCCCAAGATCCTACTTTCTTGGGATTTTACTTTGTGTTTTTTTCATCGTTGCTTGATAGCACTAGAAGAATGGAAACAAACCACGAGTTCTTTCCATCCACGCGTCTCTCTAATTCCATTTTTGTTTTCATTGATCTTTCCCGTGAGGGCTAACCTTGTTGCATCTTAACTTTTCAGCCAGCAGCTGTGGACGATGATTTGCCAATGCTCCTTACAGAGTAGTGAATCAAATGGTTTCTTGCAGCTGAAGACTGTTGGAAGGTGTGTAATACTATTACTTGGCAATGTGCCGATCTGTTTCTTTTCTTCTTTTTAGCCTTGCCACAACATAGCTATGGGCTATCTATGGCAAAGGCAACTGTGTGATATATGTATATATGGAAGGGTGGCGACATGTTTTATCGAGTTGTACTCTTCGGTCATGTATCTCTATCATAACATAGAACTATAGCTTCAATAAGATTGCGACACCCTTCCAATTGGACATGTTGAACTTTTACTTTACATATATGATGGCAAGATCTATGCTTAAGTTGACGAATAAATTTTTATGTTCAATTCAACATTACTCTACTTAACACCAACTCGTTGTT